TTTAACCAAATTAATGTACATGGGCCTCATTTCAATCAAATCCAATGAAAGATCCTTAAGTGAATGCAGATGAAGGACACATTCTTTCGTGCAAAAATCCAATTCTCCCAAGAACATAAGCATATCTGTATGATTTCTTCTTTAAAAAAGCTTACATAGAAAATAATTTACTTTTGCAACTCATGAAGAAAAAAATAATTTTCGCACCATGGAGTTTTCTAATTATATGAAGATGGAAAAAGAAACATCTATAAAACAACCTATTTTTAACTCCCATATTATTTTTTAAATATTTTATTTATTTATTTTTAGAGAGGGGGGAAGGGAGGAAGAAAGAGGGGACATCAATCAGTTGCCTCTTGCATGCCCGCACCTGGAGACCTGGCCCACAACCCAGTCATGTGCCCTGACTGGGAATCGAACCAGCAACCTTTTGGTTCACAGGCAGGCACTTAATCCACTGAGCCATACCAGCCAGGGCTAACTCCCATATTCTTGCCACTAAAAGCCAAAACACAACTTTGGGTAATCTAGCAACATAAAAGAACCATACAAATATGTAGTATCCTATTACAGGACTAACTGCTATGCAGCTGTTCTTTAATTGATGATCTAGTCACAATTCTTATACTTAAAAAAATTTAAGACCTTCAGTTTTATGTAAATATAATCAATTACACATCTCAGAAAGTAATTTTGAATGTCAAGAAATACAACCTAGGATGAAACCTATTTATTCCCTAAGAGTATTGCTATTACATTAATAGCAATTTGATCTAATTTCAAGTTAGATCAAATCCAGAGCTTTTATTTCTTACTCAGGACCATTATTGTTCACACGTAACAAAAGAAAAGACAATTAGACTTATCAAAATTAAAAACTTTAAACACCAGGAAGCAAAAAGACAACCCACAGAATGAGAAAATACATTTGCAAATCATATACCTGCTAAAGAGTCATGTATCCAGAATATGAAAAGAACTCTTAGAGCTGACCAACAAAAAGACAAATTTAAAAATGGGCAAAGAACTCAAAGATATTTCCCAAAAGAAAGATCTACACATGGCCAACAAGCACATGAAGTATGCTCACCATTAGCCACTAGGGAAATGCAAATCAAAGCCAAAATGAGATGCCATCTCATACTAAGATGACTATAATTTTTAAAGAAAAAATGTTTCTGATTTTCTTTTGTTTTTTGTTGAAGAGGATATGTAGAATTTAGAAAGCTCACATATTGCTGATGGGAATGTAAAATGGGAAGCCACTGTGGATGACAGTTTCTCATTAGTCAAACACAGCATAACCCTATGATCCAGCAATTCTACTTTCAGATATATAATACTCAAAAGAAATGAAAACAGATGTTCAAACAAAAACTTGTAAATAAGTGTTCAAAGCAGCGCTATCCGCGATACCCAAAAGGTAGAAACAATCCAAATGCTTATCAATGGTCGAAAGAATTAACAAAATGTGATATATATCCATACAATAACATACCATAAAAAGGAAAGAAATACTGATACATAGTACCACATGAACGAACTTTGAAAATATTAAGTAAAAGAGACCATACGTTAAAAAAAAAAACATATGTTGTATAATTCCACTTATATAAAGTATCCAAAATAGGCAAATCCATAAACGGCAGAATGCAGGTTGTCAGGAACTGGGAAAAGAAGGACATAGGGAGTGCTAGTAAGCATAGGTTATCCTGGGGGTGATGACACTATTCTGGAATTAGAGAGTAGTAATAATCGCATAATTCTGTGAATATACAAAAAGCCACTGGGTTTTCTACTATACACAAATTTTTGGTATGAATTCTATCTCAACATTTATAATCTGATGATTTTTAAAAAACCCAAATCCCACTTGTGATTAAAAACTCAGATAAACAGGAATAGATGAGAACTGCCTCATCTTGCTGAAGAACATCTACAAAAAAGCCTACAGTTAGCATACTGTAGTTGTGAAAGACCTACAACGGGGAACTAGGCAAGGATATCCACTCTTACCACTCCTATTTTATATAGTAGTAGAAGTTCTAGCCTTCTACTACTCTAGCCTCCTACTACTATAATAGAAGTACAATAAGGCAAGAAAAAGAAATAAAAAGTATACAGATCTAGAAGATACAAACTGGTCCTTTTTACCAATGATACAACTATCTATGCAGAAAATCTTAAGGAACCTACAAAAACTCCCAGAACTAATAAGAAAGCCCATAAAGGTTGTAAACTAAGCTGTCTTCAGAGCAAAGATGGGCAAAGCAAAGGAAAGATGAGTTGAGAAAAAGTAGAGTAGTCTATGGTCTGAAGTCTGGAAGAGTTCAAAAAATGGTTGGTCAGGGAGTCATTGGGCAAAGAAACAAAATTTAGAAGAGGGAGATGGAATTTCTCCATGGCTACTGTGGTTTCTCTCTGCTGCCTAAACATTCAAAGAAGAAATCAGGCTGTTCTTTTGGCTTCTGACAGCTATTAAATATCTTATGGGTCTCTCAACATTACTGTACACAAACTAAATTTATTTGGATTAGGAATTCTGAAATCTTTGAATATATGCCTTTAGGTGATTCTATTTTGGCTTTAATAATTAAAATACTAATAATACATATATGCAGAGTGGGGCAAAAGTAGGTTTACATTCGTGAGTTCACAAAACAGTTTATTCTTGTATTATTTATTAATTTTTGTGCTATTTTCCATATGAACAACTGTAAATCTACTCTTGCTCACCCTGTGTAATTAAAAAATATAAAATTATAGGCCTCCAGTTTTAAATTAAAGCTTTCTTACCATCTGCTATTTTCAACATAGACAACCTATCCCTATATATACCACATATTTATACATAAATACATACAGAAGCACACACATGCACACAAGTATATCATGCAAAATAAGGAAAGTTGGGGGCAATATTTACACCTGGATGTTTAGAAAAAAATGTTGCTGTGATACACCCAATGCCACAGGATTTTGGTAGTCTTGATGGTTAAATCATAAGAGTGATGTTCATTAAAGCTATTTGTTATCCCCCCACCCCTGCCCACAGGCAGGGGGGTCCTTCTGACATGAATGTGGTCCTTCTCCCCAGTGCCAGCATTATAAGGAGATACAGTTTCAAAATTATAATATAGGATATGAACCACAAACTCAGTTTTATGCCACTACTACTATATCCTTGCCCAGTGCTTTCTAACTTGGTGCCAACAAGTTTTGAACTAGGAAACCATACAAATTACACAACTATATATATATACACACACAAGTGAAAGGATGTATCTAGCAACTAGCTGGGTAGCCCTGCCCACGCACACCATCAAGCTCACTCATCACTGGAGCATGACTCCAAGGGCACAGTTCTGATCCCAGCAATACCAATGGTACATTTTTTTAAAGCACATATAAAAGTAAGTACAAAATTAGAGGACAATATGCAGAAACTATGCCATAGATAAAATCACATACAAATTACATAATTATAGGAAAATAAATTAATGGGAATATAAAAAATGAAACCTTATTTATTGGTAATTACTGAATTATAATAATATTCTTTTTATAAACATATTAAAAAGAAATAAATGGAATCAATGAAAGCAGTTTTAGAACACTTCAAACATTTCATAAGAAAAATGCCACCTAGAGACAAATTCTTTACTGATAGTGGTAGATACACAGCAGAGCTTAGTCCAAAGACCTATACCTGGCTCTGTCTTTGCCCTTCCTCACCTATATGTCACTCTGGGGGAAATCACTCAAACTTTTTTACAAGCTCAAGATATTCAAAATTTGAAAGCTATGCAATGATTTAAGCTCCCCAGCAATTCTGAAATAGCTACAATGCAAAGTTCTTGTTAGCCAATGTCTTTCTGATGACTTTATTTACACAGTAATTCAGTCTTGTCTTTTCTTCCCCGTCTGGAATCACAAGAATTATCCACATGTCCTCAAATAATATCACAAAGTACAGTAAAAGGAATACACATGCTAGGAAAAAAAGGTCAGAATTCATATTTCAGTTATTATTTTATTTTCTCAACAATATTATCACATACCTACCATATGCCAGGGACTTTCTGAGACAGCAAAGATAAAGAAAGTAATAAAACAAAGTTCTTGTCCTCGTTAATATAATATGTAAATTAAATATTTACCAAAAAATACTTCACAGTGATAGGCACTAAGAAGGTAAATCAAGCAGGATGAGAGCACAGTGCTGCCTTAGAAATCTGGGTGTGCTATTCCAGATGACCTTGTAATGACGTGAACTACAGCTGAAATCTGGATGGAATGAGGAAGACAGCCATGATGACATGGGGGAACAATGTTTCAAGGAGAAGGAATCATAAGCTCAGAGGCCTTGAAGCAGGACAGGTTTAGAGTGTTCAAAATTAGCAAGGAGGCCAATGGGATGGGAGCCAAGATAATTTTAGGGAAGAACAATACAAGATGTAATCAGAATGGTGATCAGCATCAGATCACTGCAAAGTCTGGTGGGCCATGGTGAGCCACTGAATTGTCTCTGTGTAATGAAAAACCTCTAGAAGATTTTGAATAGAGAATTAATGCCACTGAAGTTACATTCCAAAAGGCTTCTTACTCTGATTGCTATGTGGAAATGACTGTTGGTGTTGGGAGAGAGTAAATACAAGGATATTGGTTAGAAGGCTACCATGAGAACACAGGTAAAATACAGTAACAGCCTTCAGTAAGAGAATAGTAGCAGTTACAGTGAGAATGACTGGGATTCTACATGTATTTTTTAAAAGTAAAGCCCACAAGGAGTAGCCGATGGACTCAAGGTCGATTGTGAAAAAATATCAATGGCAACCCCACAGCTTCTGGCCTCGAAAAGTGAGAAAATTGAGGTTAAGTCTTAAGACACAGAAATCCCTATCAAGATATCAAATTCAGCTGTTCAGAAATACCATCAGCATTACTGAAATTAAACTTAAAAAAAGCAAAATAAAATAAATGCTTTTTCTACTCACCATTTGCAGATTGTATCATGTTTCCAGATTTTTGGACTTCATCAAATTTTGTAAAAATTACATTCAATCTGTATTGAAAAGAAATATATATGTATAGAAACTATTAACCATTACCAAAAAAATCTTTGACACAAACCCACCTAATAACAAAAACAGAATATTAATAATAATATCAATAGCCAACAATAATTGGGCACTTACTATAGGTAAGATCCCACTGACTGAAAGATCCCATTTAACCTTTGTAACAGCCTTACAAGGGATTAATATCATCCCTATTTTACAGATAAAGAAACCAAGGCCCCCTTAGCTTGCATAAGGTGACACAGGGTGGAGATGCCAGTCCTGAGAGTAAGAATCCAGAGCCCAGGCTTTTGGACATCATATTAAATTTATTGCTCTATACAAAACATATACATATTATGAAAGGCATATATTTCTCATTTTTCTGAAGCACAGACTGCTAATGACTTAGGATAAAGACTTTCAAAATGCTCTAATATAACAATACAAAGCCTTTTTATTTTCTCCGACTTAAAGCTTAATTTTAAAATGCTATAAATAATTTCTCTATAAACAAATGCTGTGACTAGATAATCTTCAGCCTAAAAAATTAACATGACATTAACTTTCTATTAAAAGGATCATTTTAACCTTGACATTTATTTATGTTTGATTGTTTTTATTTTTTTTGTTGTTCAAGTACAGTTTTCTGCCTTTTACTCCTAGCCCCACCCACCCAACCTCCCAGCCCTCCCCACCACCTTGACATTTAGACAGAAGCAAAACTCAATATTCCATCCTAGTGACCCAGAAATGAGAGAAAAATTGGGAATGGAGGGGAGAAAGGAGGTCAAGAAAAAAGAGGCTTTCCCAAGTAAAACACAGATACATTTGAATAAGTATAAAAGTTAAAGATTCCAAGGTAAGGTACTTCTGCATTCAAACCTATGCCACCTATTTCAAGGAGCAAACTAGAAATTTTAGCTATTTCTTACAAACCATCCTTGGGGATAGAGATAGAAACAGTATTCTTTTAGTATTCTGTACACATCAAGCACTATGTCATGTAGGGAGTTACACCACTGTGTGAAAGGTGCCTAATAATCCTGTCCCTTTTCCCTCACTACAGAAAACAAGATATTTCACTCATTCTGGTCTCAGTTCATTATAATTAGTTCATTCACCGAACCTAGCAAAGCTAGCTAGCTAGATGCTGTATGTGTATAGGTCTTACTCTCTTGAGCTTCTACTCACTTCTACTTCACTCTATTCTACTTAGAATTCTAAGTAACAGGGTAGCTAAAAATGCTCATCAGCAAATAGAGGTAAAATGAAAGGGACGAACTAGCCTGATAGACTTCTCCCTGTTCTCACTCTATGGTAGATATCAATAATCTTTTTGACCCATCTTTCCATCTAAGTCCAGGTATAGCCTCAGAATCTTTCTCGAAGCTGCTCCAGAGAATCACTACCCATTAATCAAAGTTGGCATTAAATTGAAAATCTATTTGTCATCTCAGGACCAGATATAATTATCACTCACTTTCAAATATAGTGGTTACTAAAGATCTGAAAAGATGCCGTAGACTCAATCTTATGATGTTCCTATCACCTTCCCTTTTATAAGCAGCAAAGGTCTCCAACAGCTTAATAAGCCCATCAATAATATCATTAAACAGGTTGCCAGGGCATGCCCTGGCCAAGTTACCACTTTATTATGTCACAACTACACCTTCTGACATGAGCATGCCTGCAAATTTGCACATTAGGAACAACCATGTCTGGCTGTTCTTGAAATTTCTAGGAGGAGACAATTATTTCTTCTATTCCTGGGAGACTATTCAACATTATCAATGTCAACCGTGGAACAATCTGTAGATTCTCTATCTGTGGTAATGTCTGCTCACTGTGGCCACATTACCCATAACTGGCAGACCCAAAACAGCTAGGTATGAGAATGCTAAAGAGATCACTATTATTGGTATCCACACCTTAATTCAGAATCCCTCAGACAGGCATGCCGTTTCCTCTACTTTCATATTCCTGTTTCACCAGCTGCCTTAATCTCTGCACAAAAACACCTATGCAATGGCTCCTATCTAAGTTACTAGCTCAGGTCAGTAACCTGACAGTCTAATATCAACCAAGCATTTCTTAGAAATACTTTCTGACTGCTAGTTCTGAGTACAGCACTAGAAAATGCCCCTGTTGGGACCTTCGAATTGGCACAAGTCTAAAAGGATGAGTTTTATATGTTCGAAGACATTGATTACATGACTAATGATTACCGTCTGAAGCCACCATTTTTTTTCAATTTTAATTTTAAACCTTTAAACCTCACATTTAAAATCAATTTCTTCACTAGTTTGACTAATAATAACATTTTCCCCAGGTTTTTCTGATTTTTATATTCAACTCTTCAATTCAATTGTCATTTATTTTACTATAAAATTTAGGTCTAATTATTCCTTCCTAGAACATTTAAAAATACGAATTTAAAATAATTTCCTAGAAACAAACACTAGTAATCTCACAGTCAACAAAGCTCAACCATACTCTCAGACCTTCTCATTGGCTTCTTAGTCCAATACTTTTTTTAAAGATTTTATTTATTTTTAGAGAGAGGAAGGAAGAGAGAGAAAGAAACATCAATGTTTCTCCCTCTGGAGCTCCCTCTACTGAGGACCTGGCCTGCAACCCAAGTAATGTGACCCATCTGGGAATGGAACCTATGGGAATCTATGAACCCTGAGAATCTAGGAATCTATGAACCCTATGAATCTGGGAATCTATGAATCCCGCTGGTTCATAGGCCAGCGCTCAATTCACGGAGCCACACCAGCCAGGGCTCCAATACTCTTTATATTGAGCAGACACACATATACCTAACTTAGAGGAAAGAAGAGACTATGAAAAGTTTTTAATATGTCACCAATACCTCCAAAGAGAGAAAATACTGCAAATCAAAAAATCAAAGAGAGAAGTACCCCTTCAAAAATGGCAGAACAAGGAACTCAGAACATCTGCTCCTCCGAAGACACAAAGAAAACATTGGCAAAATCATGTTTTCCAAAACTCTGGAAATTACAAAGACAACAATCCAATGAGTATTCTTCAAGACAAACAGCTGAATCTAAGTTTTCTATTGTTTCCTGTGCCCTGTTTTCATCTCCAACTCACCAGCTGAAAACCAACAGTCTCCCAATGATAGGTAGTCTGAAAACCAGCAGCCTCACAGATCCTGAGAAGAGTTGAACAAGTTTGCAGCTCAGTAAAAATCTCCATTCCCAAAGACCCATTATTGTTAGACCTGTCTGGTATATTCTGAAACCGAACTCCACCTCCATTCACAAAGTCTGTCTTTATTTGACCTGATTCAGTGCATGCTCAGTGCAAGACCCTTTACCGTGAAGCCATGATCAAAAAGAATCTGGGACAACTGATTAACACAGCAGCTGCCTGTGATGGCAATAACAGCTGGAGCTAAGAAACTGACCAAAACTGGAAAATAAGACGTTCACAAGACTCTGAAAAGTTCTAAAATATTCCTGGGAAACTAGAAGGCCACATATATGTGCAAGACAGGTACATGCCTGGGAAAGGCCCATGAAGGCATTGTCTCACCTCTTGCTAACAAGGAGACAGAGTAAAGGAGAAGGTAGAGCTGCACAGACTGCCTCCCCCCAAAATGAAAGCATGCGCTTATATACACCGAAAAAATCCTTACATTAACAATCAACCGATTTTCAACAAAGGTGCTAAAAAATTCTATGAAGATCAAAACCATAATACGATACCCATATGCTGCCTATCATCAAAACAAAACAACAAAAAATAACAATTGTTGGCAAGAATGTACACTGATGGCAGGAACGCACAATGATGCAGCAGGTAGGAAAAACAATATGATGGTTACTCAAAAAATTAAATACGGAATTACCATATGATCCAGCAATTCCATTTCTGGATATACACCTAAAAGAACTGAAAGCAGGAACTAGAACAGATCAGTACACCCATTTTCATAGCAGTATTATTCACAATAGCCACCAGGTAGAAGCAACCCAACCCTGTATCAACAGAAAAATGGATAAACAAAATGTGATACATTCATTTACTGCTGAATGAAATATAATGGAATTTCATTCGGCAATAAAAAAGAATGACTTGTGCTACAATATGATTGAACCTTGAAAACATGGTATGTGAAAGAAGGCAATGAACAAAAAACTACATTTTGTGTGATTTTTATTTCCATGAAATATACCAAAAAAAGAAAATCCATTAAAAAGTAGACAAGTGGTTGCCAGGGCCTAGATGGAAGGAAGGATGGATATGGGATTTCTTTAGGGGGTGACAAGAATGTTCTAAAACAAGATAGCAGTAATGGCTACACAACTTTGTGAATATTGTTCAATTGGGTATATGTTAATTATGAAAATTACAGTATATAAAATATTTAATAAGAAAGCTCATATAAAAATAAAGGAAACAATGCTATAAAAATGGAATATACAGTAAACAAAAAAAACCTTAGTAATTAAAAAAAATTTTTTTTTAATTTTTTAATCAAACACCCAATAGAATAGCTGAAAGATAAATTTGAGAAACATCTCACAGAAGACACAGCAAAACTGTGAAGCTATAAATGGGAGAGAAAAGTCAGAAAGCTAGTTCAATTGGTGATAATATAACTATTATATTTACAAATATAAACAGTTATATTTTTAAAGAAACTTGCCCAGAGTCAAACAACAAGAGGTTCCAAATTCAAAGGCCCTCCAAGTATACAGCACAATGATAATAGTCTCATCTAAGACCCAACACCATAAAGTTTCAGACAAACACTGAAGACAAAGATATCTAGAGAGGATGAAGAATCAGAATGACTATGGGCCCTGGCTGGGTAGCTCAGTTGGTTACAGCATCATCCCACTAATGCCAAGCTTTCAGCGTTTAATCACAGTTGGGACACATACAAGAATCAACCAATGAATGCATAAGTAAGTGGAACAGCAAACATCATTCTCATTCTCTCTCTCTCTCTCTCTCTCTCTCTCTCTCT